CCGTGTTTTGCTAGATGAACAGGAAAGATAAGGCTGTGGCAGGCAGTTGTGTCAATGAGGGGCCCCAAGGCTGGCCAGCCGCTTGGCGTCGGCTTCAGGAAGATAACCCGTTCCCCGTTATGGTGAGGGTGCGGAACTGGGGATACAGTTAGTTGCATGGGTTTCGAACGCAGGTCTTCAACATTGCGCAAAGCCGTTTCATGCCGGTGTTCAACAGCAGCGGCTCGGTTGCTGTCTCCGCAGGTGTATGCAGTCATGCCGAAGAGAGGCCTGACCTTTGCTGTTATTGTGTTTTTAGGGATTGTTTTTTTTAAACCTGCCCCGGTCCTTTCCCTTCTCTTTACCAGTTTGATCTTCATCGTGAGGTTTGTAGTTCCTTTCAGAATCCTCCAGAAATGGGCACAAAACAAAGGCTCACTTTGAGAGTTCCTATACTGCGATATATACACGTGAAACATTTTTTGCAACCTTCATCCTTGTGAGGGATCATTTTTGTCTAAAAAGATTAAAATCATATTCTTACCAGTAAGACAGGGCCTTACGATAGCACTCACGTATGTCATTATATGATATATTTGATTGTCTTGCTTGTTTTATCAGCTTACACCTGTTTGCCATGCCTTCAATAAGAATTGAAATATATAATTAGACATTTCAGTTAGTGCTGTGTGTGGGGGGCAGTTCAACGGTGAGAACTAGATAGATGGACAAGATACTAAGCTGGAAATATGATTTTGTGGCTGGTCCCCCATCTATATTAGTCTTTTCTACACCAATGCATCAGCTTGTAGTTACCAGTGCTCCTCTTCAAATGCCACCTGAAGTAAGATACGTTTCTTTCATATGAGATGTAGAAATATTACACAAAGATAACATTTGAGCTGGGTATTGAGTGTTTCCTGTTGTTAGGTGATAGACAGAGATAACATGCTTGTGGGTAGTGGAGGTCAAGCTTGGCTTTCCTTTATTGCAAAAATATCTGCGTTTTATTCGCTTTCAATAACATGTTCAAATGGCCTCAGCAGTACAAAGAGATGTGTTCAATGTTCACTTCTAATTTCTTCATAATTGAGTGTCGGGATTGAGATTCATGCATTTCTGGCTTCAAAAGACAGGCAAAGGTTAATCCAGCTTGCAAAGTTTCTCTTAAACATCACAGCTATGTTTGTTTCGGATTTTACTTTTATATCTGCATCACTCCTGTGTTTAGAAAGGCTATATAGATTATTTTGTTAATCTTGTTTTTACTTCCTGTCATTTTTTCAACTTTGTTACATCCTGCTTTCAGTACTTGTAGTAAGATGACAACTCCTTTTTAAAAACTCTCTTTTGAGATTCATGGATTTTACCTTCAGTAACAGCTCTTCAACTGCTCCTCAACTGCCGCTTGTCAGTTTTTGTGAACTTTCTGAAAATCTTTCTGAAAAGGAATACGAGTAATGACATTTTTGTGTCAAAATAAAACAGTAACATTTACCTAACACACAGAGACCTCTGATGTTTTGTGTACTGTGTAACATTAGCAGGAAAAATAAATTCACAATACATTGGCCTGGAGTTAAGTACTACAGAGATCTACAGTGCAGAAAATCACATTCATATATCTAGTTGTCTCTAAAGGCCTGAAATGAAACTTCAGGGAAATGCTTGACGCTGTACACAATGGCAGCATCTGTGTTCATAACAGACACAAACAGACACAGCTTGAAAGGACACAAGTAGAAAAGGTTTGCCTTATTTTTAATTTAGATGATTAACATCCATTATTAAGGAAAGGATTCATCAAAACCTAAACTTCATAGCTAGCAGTCTAAAATTATTCACTCATTTCTATTAATGGAAGATCTCAGTTAATAACAGTACAATTATCCTAAGTTGGTAAAGAATTCAAAGAAAACATTAAAACTTTTTTTTATTTCACGCCAATCAGTTGTCAATTGGTTTATTATTTCAATTATTTTCCTGCTTTCTGCTTTAATTTGATCAATTATTTTAATGTCTTGCAGGAACACCTGTTTCTGACACAAAGAGGACGATTGTGTGTTTTCCTCATGTTGA